CAGATACTAACCTGTGATGTTGGCGCTGTGCTGCAGGTACCTCGAAGACGAAGCTGGAGCAACGGCGCTGCAGGTAGGTACCTCTCGCCTCCGCCCAAACTCTCTCTCTCTCTCTCTCTCTAGTACTACCTAGCTATGGCGCCCAGCGGTGGAGACTACAGCTACCTACTGCGCCCAGCGCTGAAGACTACTAGCTAACGCTACCACTACTACAACGCAGCGCTCCCTCCAGAGTGCTGCACCCGAATCCTGAAGACTACAACTGCCCGACTGCCTACCTCGGAAGTGCCTGGGAAGTCCTATGTACTACCTCGGCCTGCCTCCTGACTACTTGAGGCCAGTCAGGCCGAGGAGGCAGCTCTTGCCAATGCCGAAGTGTGCTAGGGGCTGGCGTGCAGCAGCCTGCTTGAGGCTGGCATGGGAAACAGACTAATAATAGTCTGTTTCCGAAACCCTGGTTCGGTGCCTGAGTTTTAGGGCCGGTCGTTCTGATGAACGACCGAAAATGACCCTTCGTTTCAGGCTAAAAAGGCTGTTGCCATTTTTAGTCTGAAACGACCAGGGATAGGCCCTGAACTTCAGGCTTTTGATCGGAACCGACAGGGGGCCTTTAAGCCTTGGATCTCAGGCTTTCGGCCCAAAGTTCAGGCTTTCAGCCTGAACGAACGCAGGCCTGCAAAATGGTCGTCGGGCCTGCAAAATGACCCGTGTGTGCACTTGCTGCATGTAACACCCCCCCCTCCTTATGAAGTCAAGCCGGGGCAAGGGCGAAGCCGTCGATCTAAAGGTGGAACATGAACGAGGGTGTGGTGGGGAACCGAAGAAACCGGCTTGCCTTGCATCTTGCGTTCGTAGTGTGCGAGGACGTCTGGAGCTGTTGCTTGAAGTTCCGCACGGGTTAACCAACGGTCAGCTCGGTGTGTGCAGTATGCAAAATGCACTACATACTCAGTTGGCTTGTTGCCAAAACGTCGTTGGGAGATGATGTCGCTGACCTCCTTAAAACCATCCATAGAAGGTGGATCTTGTGTACGTCTCCCGGGAAAATCGTCATGATCCGCTAGCGTGTAGAGAGCCAGTTTGGAGCAATAAAAGACTGGGTAGACAGGCAAGTGGCTAGGCACCTGAATCATGAAGGAGAGTCCTTCGGGTGCGTCCCCAGCGGGCTCTATGATCGACCAAGGCCCCATCCATTTCGGGAGGAGCTTGGGAGAGACGTCTTGTTCAAGGCTGAATTCCGCTGCTGAAACCCAGACGAGGTCCCCGACGCGGAATGGACAAGGAAGACGCTAGCGATTTGCCTGTTGGCTCATGCGCTGCTGCGTCTTAGCCATCTGGTCGCATGCCTTGACAAGACGCTCTTGCATCCGACGTAAGAAGAGAAGATGGTCGTCGCTCTCGGTCGTGCGTGGAGTAATAGTGTCCAACGGTGATGTGACCGGCGAGCCATGCTCGAACTCGAAGGGCGATATCCCAATAGCCGGGTGGATGGAAGAGTTGTAGGCCAACTCAACATCCGGCAGTCGCTCAACCCACTCTTTCTGGTCGGGGCGGATGAGAGTGCGAAGGAGAACCTGTGCGGTCTGATGCGCCCTCTCCGTCTGGCCATCGGTCTGAGGGTGGCGAGCTGAACTGGGCTTGAGAGATTAGCCCCATCGCTTGATGAGCGCCAACCAAAAATCGGACACGAACCGAGTGTCGCAGTCGCAGACGATCTCCTTGGGGTAACCCTTGGTGCGAATCCAACCGGCGTACAAAACCTCGGCCAACTCCTGTGCCTTGGCATGATAGCGACAAGGCAGAAACATGGCGAACTTGGTGAGTCGGTCGACCACCGTGAGAATGCCATCCACTCAAGTCTTGTGCTTGGGGAACGGGCCAGTAATGTCCATGGCAATTGCTTCCCTTCGCCGCAACGGGACTGGCAATGGTCGTAACTCGCCGTACGGACGATGGTTGTGGGATTTGCAGCGTCGGCAAACCTCGCATGACTCGCAATAGCGCGTGACGTCGCCGAGAAGGCCGGGCCACCAAAATCGCTGGTGAAGTCGGCCAATCGTGCGATTGACTCCAAAATGTCCAGTGGCGGAAGCGTCGTGGAACTTGCCAAGAAGCCGTGTACGCAAGTGAGGATCACTCGGTACGCAAAGAAGATCCTTCCCCCGCGTGTGGACAAGCAAGTACCCCTCTTGGATCCGGTAGTGAGAAGGAGACGGATTAGGAGAGGAGCAATTCGTGTACTTATCGCGAAAATCGGGGTCGGCTTGGTAGCCGCGGATGAAGCTGTTCCGCAGGTCGTCGTCGATCTCGAAKGTTGAGTAGACCGCGGTACAGTGATCCGGACGCCGTGAAAGAGCATCCGCAAAACGGTTCGACTTCCAGGAATGTGATCGGGAAAGAAGTCGAACTGGTCGATGAAAGCCATCCATCGAGCGATGGTGCTGTTGACGGTGTCTTGGGTCTTGTAGAAGACCAACGGATTGTTGTCCGTTACCCAGCGAAATTGGCTTCGACCAAGGAGGAAGTGCCGCCACCRCTTGAGCGCGTGGACGAAGGCGAGGAGCTCCTTCTTGCGTGCATCGTCAATGGAATGCACGAGKGGCACTTTCTTGCTGAAGTACTCGACCGGGTGCCAGTCCACACCATCATGTTGCTCGAGGACTACACCAATGCCATAGCCTGATGCATCCATAGTGACACGCGTAGGCGCGAGCGGGTCGTAGATTCGCAAGACCTCCGCAGACAATAGCGCGGCTTTGAGAGCGAAGAATGATCCTCGCGCCTCCTCTCTGAAGTCAAACGGCCGATCCTCGCACTGAAGCTTGTTCACGTGGGCCGCGATCTTGGAGTAGCCTTTGATGAAACGCTGATAGTAGCCGGTAAGACTGAGGAACAAGTGGACATCCGTGATGTTCCGAGACTCCGACCACTCTTAATCTTGTCCGATAGCGGACTGATGCCGTCCGGTGTGACAAAATGGCCCAAGTATTCCAGCTCTTGCCGGACAAATTCGCACTTGTCACGGTTGGCCTTGTACTTGGCAGGGCGGAGCGTCTCCAATACTCGTCGAAGATGTCCAAGATGATCTTCCAATGTCCGGCTGTAGACGAGAATATCGTCTAAGTAGACCAGCACGAACCGGTCCAACATTGCACGAAACTCATTGGTCATCGCCGCCTGGAACGTCGCCGGGGCGTTGGCGAGGCCAAAAGGCATGACCACCTACTCAAAATGCCCGTATTGAGTCTTGAATGCAGTTTTGTAGCGATCGTTCGGCTGAATCGAGATTTGATGATATCCTAATTTCAAATCCAACTTGGAAAAATACTTCGCACCGCCCAGCCGCTCGAGAAGATCGTCGATGCGAGGGAGAGGCCCCTCATTCTTGACGGTTTGTGCGTTGAGCTTGCGGTAGTCGATACATAATCGTAGATCCTTGTTCTTCTTCCTGACGAAGAGAACTGGTGCTCCATATGGGGAGCTACTCGGGCGGATCCAGCCCTTGGCCAACAAATCATCGAGTTGTGCGCGGAGGACCTCAAGCTCCTCCTCGCTCATCCGACAGATGCAACCTTTCGGCGGCACGGCACCGGCCTCAAGAATGATCTCGTGAGAGATCGGTCGACCCGGCACCACACCGGTAGGTGACTCGAAGATGTCGGCGAACTCGTCCAGCAACCGTACCACATGGGGGTCCGAAGACAAGTCCGTGGGTAAAGAGTCGACTACAGCGATGGTCCGTAGGAAACAAAGGCCGATCTCCTCGGGCTGCTCGTAAGCGCAAGTCGCCCGGAATGATTTGGTCGTCACCACTTGGCACCGGATCGAAGAGTGCGGTAGAGGAATAGTACACGCCACTTCCGCGCTGAAGGCGTCGCAAACGCTAAGAATCCGCCGATGGAAGTTGACCGTGTGATCCGCACTTGCGAGCCAAGGCATTCCCAGAATGATGTCGAAGTCCGTATCGAGAATATCGAATGTTACTGGTTCGCATGCATGAGGTGCGAAGTAGACCGGTACGACCTCGATGTAACGGTCGAGAAGTTGTTGCGTCTTACCATCCGCCAACTTGATCGTCGTCGGGTTTGCCTTCCTCCGAACTTGTGCGCCAAGGCCAGCTCTTTGCATAAAAGACTGGCTCATGAAGTTGCGAGACGCGCCGCTATCCAGCAAAGTGTTGCAGGACGCTTGCCCAACCTGGATGCGGACATACATGAGCGGTGCATTGTTGTTATCGTACCGCTGCGTGCGAAACTCGCGGGCCACCTTGGTAGTATATGCCAGGATGTCCCCCACCGCGACTTCGTCATCCGTCGGAGAAGTTGGTGGTGCATAGAAGGAAAGGTAAGTGTGGAGATGAACGCTAAGTGATGCACATTGTGGTCCCGGCAAACAGCCTGTGGTCGGGAGAGGAAGCCATGCAAAGACCTCAGACGTGAGCGGGTCCAATGCCTCTACATTGAACTCGCGCGCCGAATCCCGTGATGAACCACTTGAAGACGATCTGTCGCTGTTGTCGGACGGAGAAGAAACCGCACACACTCCTTGTCCTTGAGCTTGAGTACCCAGCGTTGGAACGAGCCGGGCAGCATAGTCCTCAAAAGAAAGTAGAAGCGGAGGACTGTCGATTTCTGCGTGCGCCTCGGAATGAAGGCTGGTTACTCGCGAAGAAACCAGTTCCGAAGGCGTCGAGAGTGTCGTCGCGTCACTCTCGGCGGTGCTCAGTTTCCCTGTCTGCCCTTGCCTTTCAATGGGCGAACCTGCATCTGATGAAGATCGTTGTTGCACCAAAGGCAATAGTGGAATCTCTCGCGCGCCTTGTATGCGGATTCGGAGATGCCATACGGGGTCCATGGGCCTGTCTGAGCTGCTGCACCGGGTCCGGGGCTAGAAACGATGTGTGTCTTCGACTTGCCGCGCCCTCGGCCTCTGCCTGCACGGCCACCTTCCCGGGCGGCTGCGAATCTGTCTCCTTCACTAACAGACGCAGCCTCGCTGGTTTGGTCTAACGGCGCTGCCGCTGCGACCATGGCCGCTCTTGGCCGATGCTGGTCCCTGCTCAGGCCTGACGCAGATGAACGGAGGTTCTTGGCCTCCTTGTTCGTGACGATGATCTGCGCAACTTTGTCAAATAATTTCGCCGTCGTCGTCAAGGTGTCCTCCACATGCGTCAGGGCATTGCTCAATGTCGGACATGACCTTGAGATGAAGTAGTGGCGGATGGCCTTGAAGCCCATCTGGATGTTTGGGACTGACGTCAAGCGTTGGTACTCGGCAATCCAGTCCGTACCTAGCAGCGTGCCTTTCTCGAAGACCATGAGCTTGTCCATGGCTTTGATCTCTGGCGGCTCCACCTGGAACTGCTTGTGCCACGCCGCCTTTAGATCATCCCAGGTGATCTTGGTGTGCAAGTCGTTAGCTACCACTCCGTACTTGGACAACAGGTTGTCCAACCAAGCCTGACACGCGCCCCCTGAGCGAGAGTACAAGTAGGCGTGATGCTTGTGTTCCTTGACGTTGTGGAGCTGCAACGTGAGCTCGAACTTGCGAAACCATGGAATTGGATCTGTCTTGATTGAGTCGTGGAAGATCCCCTGCCCATCGAACTTAGGAGCTGTCTCGCGCGGCTCTGGACTCGAGGTGGTGGCGTTAGTGCAGACCCGTTGCTGCAACTGTTGCGTCGCGGTCTGCTGTAACTGTGCGCCATCCTGGAGGGAACCGGCGTGCAATCCCAATGTGGTGAGGCGGTCGGCAGTATTGGAAGAGTCTGCGTCGGCGGCGGCGACTGGTCGCTGCTCCAACCGTTGAAGGCGGTCTTGGAGATGAGCTACCGAGTTGTCAAGACCAAGGATCTCCGCCTGCTGTGTAATGCAGGTTGCCAGGAGATCCGTGAGATGCGAGAGGAGGAGCGCYATCTTGTTTGCGCTATCCTCCAACTGGCTATTTTCGGCCTCGCTTCGCCATTCTGCTGCCATGGTAAGTAAYGCCCGCTCTCCGGTGAATATCTTCTCACGACGCTGTGTTCTTTCTTCATCGGCAACCCTCGCTGCTGCCTCGTCATGTTGGCGTTGTTGTTCAACCACCAGCAGACGTGCCTGCTCGGCATCCTCTGCCCTTTTCTTTGCTGTTGCGGCAACGTCATTTGCCAGCTTCTTTGTCTCGGTACTCCAGGCTAACATGCGGGCCTGATAGGCCTCGTCTGTTTCCTCGGCCTTCTGGTCCATGACTGATGTCTGTGAACGCAATAGCATAGACCAGACCGGTGCCTGATGATGTGGTATCCCTTGCTGCTGACGTGGCAATGCTGACGTGTCCTGCTGACATGTCCTGCTGATGTAGCCTGCTGACGTAGCCTGCTGACGTGGCCTGCTGACGTGGCAACTTACCAATGTCGCCGCAGGGGGTACCCGGATACAAACAGAAACGGCAAGGCGAGAGATGACAACAACATAGGTGGAGAGGGGTGGGTGGGATAATGGTCCAACTCACCCTTAGATAAGGAGCCACTAATCAAAATAGAAAAGTTTGAACTTTGCAAAAAAATTTCGAGAAAAATAAAAAAAATAAAAATCCCGATTTTTGCAAGTTCGGTAGGTCTCCCAATCTCCCTTGAAGTACGAAATGATCTCTGAAAGCGAAAAAATTTCGACTTTAGACTGCAACCGATTTATGGAACCAACTGACAGAATCCAAGAACTGCGAAAAAAAGTCCGAACAGAAATGACAAGTATTCGAATTTATTCCGATGGGAATAATTGCAGTTTGAAAAATAATACGCAGGAGGTATTTCCCGTACCGTTTTCAGAAAAACGAATTTCAGAAAAGAAGATATTCCAAAGTTCTAAGTAACGGGAAATGCAACAGAAAATTGAAACTTTCAAAAAGAAATATATTCCGGATTTTTAACAACGAAATTTCGAATTTTCAGAAAGAAAAACGAAAACAGGAATTTCAGATGTTGCGATATAGCGATTTTCCACAGCAGAATAGCGAGAAAATAAAAATCCGAGAAAAGAAAAAATTTCGATTTTTTTTTTTTTTAGTAAGATCAAGATCGTGATTTTGGGATCTAACTTGTATGTCCTAATCAAACAGAAAAGACTAACTAGCTTTTTAGTCCCTGCACACGTGTCAGATCAGGTTGTCCTGATTCACGTGCAAAAAACTCCGATACCAACTTGTTACATGCACAGATATGCAATGTACGTAATAAACCGAGAATCTGCAATGTGATGAAAAAGACTGAATAGACAATGCGGTACGAGTAGAATCTTGACAAGCAATGTACATTCTCATTCATACATAAAGATGCTGAAGAGCGCAGGGAAGACTTTGATACAAAGACTGACCTGACAGGACTGACCTTATTCACGTAGCTCAGAGTAACGAAGCAGAACGCTAGAGTACTACTAACTAGCCCAATCAATGTTTGAACTCAGACTAAACAT